ATATCGATAAGAGCAACGTCGGACCCTACCGCAAGCTCAAAACACAAACGATGGATATCTTTGACCTCGGCTGCCCTGCTGGAAGTTCGCAGAACCCTCCCTCCCGATGCCACATATGACACGCGCACAAATCCTTCAAACGCCAGCTCATCAAGAGTCTGAGGAATGACCTCGAGAAGTGGTGGGTAGAGAAGNNNGTAGAGAAGTGTAGAGAAATGGAGAAAGCCGCGACTATCGGCAATAGTCGCAATCTTTTCCGTCTAATTAAGAATACAGGCCCCAGGAAAGCAGGCGCAAGTGAGGTGATTAAAGATTCCGATGGCGCACTGATTCACGATCAGCAACGCCGTCGTGATCGATGGGCTGAACATTTCAAAGCTCAGTTCAATTGACCCCCACCGACATCTGAACTATCACCCTCCACCACGACTGGGCAAATACTCCCAGTTGATGCCAGCCCTCCATCTGAAATGGAGGTTCCCCGGGAAGTAAGTTATTTCAAAAGGCATAAGGCCTCCGGCCCAGACGGGCTGTCCCCATCGGTTTTTAAGGATGGAGGCTCAGCCCTAGTCTCGGAGTTAACTTTGCTCCTTGGCTCAGTGTGGGAGAGAGAACAGGTTCCAACTGAATGGGGTGAATCAGTCATCATACCGATTTACAAGAAAGGTGACAGGTCCTCCTGTGAAAACCACAGAGGAATTAGTTAAATCTCTAAACTTCTCTTAGGCATCATACTCCTTCAGTTGTCTGCTTCACGTGCACATGTGAGAACCAGACTGGCTTTAGACCTGGTCGAGGTTGTGTCGAAAACATATTCACTCTTCGCCAAACTCTGGAGCACCGACATTCTTTTCGTAGACCCACCATCTCTATCTTCCTGGATCTGAAAGCGGCTTTCGACTCATTCGATCACTCTAAATTCTGGCACTGCCTTTCTCTGAAAGGTGTGCCCAGGAAGTTAATTTCAATATTACAATCCCTTCATACTAATAGCCGAAGTTGCGTCCGGGCCTGCGGCACTTTTTCGCCCGAGTTCACCACAGATAGTGGTGTTCGTCAGGGTTGCCCTATCTCTCCTTTCCTATTTAAATTTATTATAGACCTGGTTATGGAAACAGCCTATCTTCGTGCGAGAATAGTGGCATCGATTTACTCCTTGTTGGTAAGCTGTCTGATCTAGAATATGCGGACGACATTGTGCTACTAAGTAAAGATCCAGGTAAGTTACAAGCTTTTCTGGATATTTTGAGTGCTAGTGTAGCCAGGTTCGGTATGCGTTTTGCACCTTCAAAATGTAAAATGTTACTTCAAGACTGGGTTGGTCCAGCACCCAGCCTCAACATAACTGGGGAAGTAATAGAGTAGATGGATAAGTTTTTTCATCTGGGCAGCTACGTCTCACTCGGTGGACGCATCACGGACGAAGTGTCAGCTCGCATACAGAAGACTCGGTTGGCGTTTGCCAACTTGGGACATCTGTTGCGCCGTCACGACATCCGGCTGCCTGTTAAGGGTCGAGCAATGCTGGGGTTAGGCACAGCGTTTTAGGTAAATACGGTCGCCCACTAGAGCAAGTGGTCGACCTCCATAGATTACGTTGGTTGGAGCATGTGTGGCGCATGTTACCAGATAGGTTGCCACGGAGAGCAATGTTCTCCGAGGTAGGTAGTGGGTGGAGGAAAGTCAAGAGTGGACAAGCTAAGACCTGGCGTAAGAGTGTGAAAACCCTAACCAGGAGACTTGGTCATTTAGGTCGTGTTAGGCTCCCTGGCTGGGGACCTCGGAATGATCGTAAGCGATGGTTAGAGACTGAGTGTGGTAAACAGTGGTGTTCGTTCATCTTGTCAATCTCTCTGCAAAATTAGTTCAATGAAATCCTGAATTTTCTCTTTGATCCTACTTTCAACCTTTTATGTCTTTCTCTTAATGGGAAACCGAAAGACAGTAACCAAAACCGGCGCACGATAGTGCGTGGTTAATGGTTGTATAAACTGCAACTGTAACTTAACTCGTAAAACAGAATGTTCGGGTCCCGCACGAGGTAGAAAGAATCCGTTTGAAGGAACTGTATTCAATCAGAGCCTAGTAGTCCGCAAAACCGCAGTTATGTTTGATATCTCGGACAAGTTGAAGTGTCTCATTTGTGAGATGTGTGATAATGAGCACACTGTGCATTTAGCACCTGTTCAGGAAGTCATTATATTTCCTTTTTTACTCACATTGTCTTTTATGGTGACTAATTGCATAAACGACGGTTTTTGCAAAGGAATTATCAGGATTCTAGTTTTGCTTATGGGGGTAATTTTCCACTGTATTTTACCTGTTTCTTTGTTCGCTTCCCCTCGGTTAGCTTCCTCCCGTCAAACTGGACAATGCCGTTTCATGCTCCAACCTACCTCACTTTAGAGCCATTGCGAAGCTGTGCCGGGCATACGGCGATCGCGTCACAGGAGTGATGTGTCGTTTTCGCATGCCACCCAACCAGGAGCTCGTACAGGACACATCAGAACTTGAAGCTAAGCCCTCCAAACTCNTGAAGCTCGTTCAATCTTGGGACCATCCAGGCGTCGAAAACCAGGTTCACTAAAGTTGTTATATCGTGAGAGTTACTTGTCGTATGCTTTTGTATTTCTTGGTAAATGTTTTCGACAGAACAAGTGTTAGACAAATCGATCTTCCGGCCGGATTTTACCGCATTTGGTAAACATTGTAGTTGACTTTCCATGCTGAACATCTCACACGGTATTCACAGTTTCCTTCTTTTTTAGTCGAAAGCATTGCGTTCAATCTGTTTCTCACCATTTATACTCGTCTCATGTGTTGAACAATGCGATTGGGGAAACCTTGAAATTGCTTAGAGAGACCGGCAACCCAAACCACATAAGGCCCCGATGGGATAGGCGTATTATTGACTCAGGCGGTAGCGAAGTTGCCGGCTACCCACGGAGGGCGACAGATAACTTGGAGACGAAGCATGAAGAAATGCACTGGGCGATTACGTTACTCTGTGACCTCATGGTTAGAGACACTGAAGATTATGGCTGCGAACCGACAGCAATGGCGATCATGCTGTCACTTCTTGTCAGACTAGAATTCTTGAAATAGTATGTATGCGCAGCTGGACTGTGTACTGTCTGTGTTATCCATAAAGGTTCACTTTCTATCCCCGTCCCTAAAAAATTGGTCCAGTCCCTATCCTCTTTACATATTCACACTTACCTTGTATGCATTATGAGTTTGGCAGCGATCAGTGAAGTTCACCTCACTGTATTTCACTGTACGACAATGATGATGGTTTTGGTGACGGTTCAAACCTCGAACACGCAGCGTAACAGTTACATTAATTCAAACCGTTTGACTAACATTACGCTCATACTTTGTCGCTAGTTTTTCCTATTCGGGTGATTTACAGTCTTTACTTTCGTTGGTTTTAATAAATAAGAATAAATTATTTAAAATTTGGCAGGATCAATACATTTTTTGAAAGCTGTCGGATGAAAAGAGAGACCCCATTTACCGTAATTCACTGTTCCTTCGGCATTTTAAGTTTCTGTGCATCTTTTGACAGCTTGCAGTTTGCTTTATAAAATCGAAATAGCCGTTTTATGGTATATGATATCATAAGAATTCTAGGCATTGTTTTCTCCGTTGGATGGTCCGTTTTTTGCTATCCTGAACATCGTTCTTTTAGTTTTACAGAATCGATCCTGGTCGATTTAGTCTGTGTTCAACAGCCTCGTGAGTCAGGGATTCGAACACGCAACCCCAGCTCGACGGCGGAGCAACAGCAACAGTGCCCGGGCAATGCAATCGATGCGGATTGCTGGGCACCATCGTTGTGGATTAAAGCGGTCACACGTGATGCTTCACGCTTGAATGCTGCCTGGTTAGGTAAGTTTCACTGATTCGTATCTATTTTTTTTTGATGAACTCAAACGACTAGTTGTTTATTTATTTTCACACACACTTGTCTGAATCCAGACTGTGTGCTAAACGAATCATGGTACAATAATCTTGAAGAAAACGTCCTATAATTTGTATGTGGACCGGAAGCTGTCAGGTTGCCTAGACCAAGGCAAGTGAATTTTCTAGAGGAATCCACAACCTGAGCCTTTGAGTAGCCAAATCCTGACCCGCAAGGCAGCGGGGCGGTGTGCGAAAACCGCAATCCATTGGCGGCCGGTGTCCGGTTCATCGGATCATACGCCCTTTGGACGAGGTCAAAGGTCCAAGGGGTTTCCTCAGCAGGGGCTCTTTGTGACGCAAACGAGACCTCATTTCTTTGGGCTTAGAGCCGAAAATTTATCCGTTCCATGGTAAATTCTGTCCTTTGGGTTTTCTCATGTAAATTTATTTGTCTCAAAGTACTATACAATGAGAGTATTCGTGGTTGTGACGTTTTGCATGCCAAGTAGACTATTCTGATAGATGTCGTTCCTAATCAGACTTCTATTTACACAGTCGACCATATTGATACTGCTTAAATTCTTGCGATTGCCATACTGCTCTCTTAGTCGTTATTACTATTATTATATTCGCTATGCATCTGAGTCCAAACGGCGTGGTAAACAAGCCCGCGAGAAAGAAAGGGATTCATGACTCTCTTGTGGATGGAATATTACCAAGTTGCTCAGGTCAAAACAGATGAAATTTCTTGGGGAATTCTCAGCCGGTGCCTTGGACTAGCCAAAGCCACTTCCGAAAGGCATCGAGGTGGTTTGTGAAAATCGCAGTCTATTGGAGGTCGGTGTGCTGTTCATCGGGTGATATGTTCTTTGGACGGTGTTAAGCGTCCAAAACACCCCAACGGGCAATCAAGTCAGTGCTAGAACAAAATGTGNCGGTTATTTCTCTTGATTGACTTGTAATCAGGTTTTGTAGCCAACTCCTCTAGGTGCATTGCCAGTGGCTCACTGACCGAGTATAACACCATATGTGATGGCTTTTCGTCCTTTCACTTTGGCGGGAAAACACCTTTACCTCGGAAAGGCAGTGAGAAGGGGCTTCCTCAGCAGGGGCTATTTGAAACGCTTGGTCTTCTAGGNNNCTAGGAGCATTTCGCGAGGTGTAAGGGAAGAGTGACCAGTCAGAACCCAAAACACTCACTCCAGGTCATAGTGAGGCTTTCGGTTGGAACCGTTTGACCACTCTTCAGACTTTAGGTTCACATACAATCCTACGATCATCCTGTCAACCATGCACTCAGGAAAGATTTGGCTTGATGTTCTCTCTTATTAGAGCGGGATTTGAATTCCGAACCTTGCATAGGTGTGTTACCACTGTGCCCAACCATGTCACACTGGGGTTTACCGGCATTAGGGATTGAATTTAAATGTGGAACGGGGTCTATTTGAGAACTGCAAGTCATGTTCGCTAATGTTTGGAACACTTAGAAGGTCCAGTTCTCGAAAAAGAATCGCTTGTTTTCCGCATTGTTACGTATGGCCCACCCGGCGACTGTGACGGATGTAAGCCTAATTCCAATAGCGTCCCTTAATCTTTGATTGATAGCGTATCTGAATGCATGTGTCTCCAGGTCGCGTATTGGAAAGGACCACTCCTGTGGCTAACCGTGTATAATCGGCGGTGGATGGTCTGTGGCAATTCCTGAGGACATGGTGGATTTTCTGCCTGGCCAACAAGCTCCCTGTAAAAGCCCTGAAGGTCTTTCGATGTCATCGTGATGTGCGCCAATGTGACCCGCCAATCAACGAGCTCCACTTTTTATGACACAACAGCATCGCTCGGTGTCTCCAACCGTCGATTACAATGAACCTAAGGTCACCATCCAGAAGGCTTAACGTGATCTATGATCACGTCTTAGTTTGACCACCTTTTACGTTTCTCCACCCATCACCTGCCACGGCAAACAACGCACGCTGTGATAGCCTGTTTAGTGACATGCGTAACATGTGCCTAAACCAGCGTAATCTATGAAATGTCAACCGCTTGCTCCAGTGAGTGACTACGGTTACCCAACAGTCTGTGCCTTACCTTAGCATTTCAATTGGAACTGAGATTGGGGAGGAGGTCGCATCACAAATAGCGAACACTAGAGCACCGTTCACCAACTTGTAACACCTGTGTCAACACCATGCTGTCCAGCTTTCGCGGAGGAAAGAGTGTGCAGCTCAGCCGTTCGCAGTGTTTTGCTTCACAGCTGCAAAAAATGACCTCTTCACGCTGAGGATGCCAGTTGACTTTCTGTATTCGAGCACCGATG